CGACCTCTTCAACAAAAGCATATGGCATCGAAAATGTCAATCGAGTAGATGAAGAGTTACATAGTGGCCAAAGAGCAGTCTACAGAGAGAGTTTAGAGAGAGAAAGAAGGCGTCTAGACTTTAGAGAGAAAGAAAGTGGCGCTCTAAGATCAGCTCCATTAATGCTCTGTTTGGCAAAAATGGCCCAACTTTTGGAGATTGCATGCTCCAATGGAATATGGGAAAAATGGGCCCTAAATTTGTGATCGCCATCAAGGTTGCCAAAAAAGGCGACTGGGGCTCACTTTTTATTTATTTATTAATTTAGGCTCAGAACACTGTACCAGCCCAGAACACTGTACCAGCCCAGAACACTGTTCCTAAAGGCATGTTTAGCTTACATAAAAGCTAAAATTCAGTTTTTTTGCTTACTTTGGTCTCCCTTTTTTTTTTTCCCTCAAAATAATTGAACCAAAGAGTCGTTAAGGTACTGTTTAGCTAACACAAACAGTGCCTTAAAGGTTTTTTTGGGCAAAAAAAAAGTTCTAAAAATTTGAAAAAAGTGATTTTTTTTCGTTTTCAAATTTTTCAATGTTCCTATTGACATTATAGTCGTTTTAGGTACTGTTGGTTAACCAAACAAAATTTTTGGCTATATTGGTTAACCAAACAAAATTTTTTTTTTTTTTATTTGATTTCCCTATCAAATTGAAATTTATTTTAAAATATGATTTTTTAATTAAAAAAATGTGTCTTTGTTTTCACTATAAATTAATAAATTAAATGATATTAAATATTGTATTGTTTACAAGATTTCATATATATTGGCTAAATAATTTAATCAGCAAACAATTTAATTATTTATTTCAAAATAAAACATTATAAAATAAATATTCCATTACATAAACTTCATAACAATTTAAAAATAAAATAATGCAACATAAACTAAACACGTTCTTCACCAAATCGGTTCTACAGATTTTCAATTAAATCTTTCCTCAACCGCGTATTTGTTTCTTTATTGCGAATTTTGACTTGGTGAGAGTAGATGTGTGTCGCTAAAACTGATGGATTTTGAATTAAAGTGGGAATCAAGATTGTCTCTTTCGGTGGTGGAGTCCATCTTCTAACATTGGCATAACACTCATCTTTAATGATCATGTTGTGAAGGATGATGCACGTTTTCATTATAAGGAACGCACTAGTCCTTGCATTATTGTTCACTTGCTCTGCAAGGCCCGAAAAGCTCATTCCACATCTTTCTTACAGGCCTCTTGTCTCTAAGCAAAAAGTTTTTCTTTTGTTGTAGTTGGGTAAGGGATGGTTTGCATCAAAATTGTCCATTTAGGGTATATACCATCAGATAGGTAATACCCCATTGTATGGTAATGACCATTCACAATGAAATTAACCGGAGGAATTTGGCCAGTAACGATACTGTTGAATACCGGAGAATGATCCAACACATTAATATCATTGTGTGAACTCGGCATTCTAAAGAATGCATGCTAGATTCACAAATCTTTTGAGGTAACCGCCTCCAATATGAGCGTAGGCGTATGAGAGCGTCCTTTGTGCGTGCCATACCACACCACCGGACAATTCTTCCACACCCAGTGCATACAGTCGGTAGAACCAAGCATACCCAGGAATCCTCTCTCCTCCCCTTCTTGAAGTAGTCGTGCTATGTCTGCTTCGTTGGGTGAGTGCATGTACTCTTCCCTATACATACCGATAACAGCCTTACAAAATTTCATCAGGGTTTCAATGGCAGTGCTTTTGTCTATTTTAATATACTCGTCACAATGATCGGCTGCACAACCATATACGAGTATACGTATTGCAGTTGTTATTTTTTTGTATAGAAGACAACCCCAAATGACTTGTTGCATCTTTTTTTTGGATGAAGTAGTCGTCATAAGCTTTAACATCATTCAGGATATGAATAAATAGTTTTTGTCGCATCCTGAATCGTCTGTGAAAGTACTCCCAGTGGATATGTGTAATTCTCGTCAAAGTAGTCTTTCATTAGTTGACGGTGACTTTCATCTCGATCACGATGAATGTACCGCCTCTTACGCGGTTTAAAAACTTACTAAACTATTTCTGGGTTCACTGAATTCAAAATCTCACGAAAGGCGTCTTGATTACGTTGAATCATCGAGTTAATAAAGTTATCTGATGAAGAGGATGATGAAGAAGATGAAAAATTAGAGCCTGACAAAGGAAAAAATCCTGATGAGGAAGCCATTGGAATTTTGAGATTGAAAAAGATGTGAATTGATATTTTGCTATAATAAGTTGAGATGAATGTAATGATGATGAGATGAACAAATAGTTGTTTATATAACAAGAAAAATATAGCCGTTATAAATATAGCCATTAGGAACAAGTTAAAAAATAAATTTTATTTTAAAATTTTAAAATAGTAAAATATTAATATTTTTGGAGAGCGAAAATGCACCATTGGAATACATGCGATAGCTAAAATTTGAAGATTCTAAAATGCTGACGTGGTTATGGAAAATGTTGCTGTGGCTATTGAAAAATGTTGATGTGACAAATTCGGAGAGCCTAATTTTAAAAAGTCTATTGGAGATACTTTAATAAGAGAGTTTTTAAACAGAAAAAGAGAACCCTTTTACTTGTACTACAATGACCATAAATAAAAGGGTTAATTACAATGACACCCCCTGAGGTTTGCCTTAATTACAGCCATATACAAGTTAACCTCTTTTTGAACAATGAGACCCCTTCAGATTTCATAAACTTAACAAAGACACTCCTGCCAAGTCTGACACAAGTTAAAATGACGTTATTACCCTTTGACTTTTGAATTACCCTAATTTTTTAATTAAAATAAGAAAATGTATCAAAAGGCCATTTTAGGACAAAAATACCCTCATCTTCCCCATCTTTCTCCACCCACAGTCCAAAATCAATATCCAATCAGTCCCTTTACAACTTCCATTGAATTTGAATTTATCTTCATTGATTCAAGACTCATCATTTCAGATACTAAATTCACCGGAATTGTCCTTGCCGAGCTAGGTGACTTACATTCACTCACTCTAAGCAATTCATCCATATCAAACGATTAGTTAATAAAGTCTAAACTCTATCATTTCAACGAGAAACCCATATACTTCTGCAACTCTCTCTCTCTCTCGGGCTCCAGCAACGGTGACGATGCTATGGCAACATTGAGTAGCAGTGGTGTTTGCATGATGGTGAAGCGATTTTGACGTCGACGAGATCTTGTTTGGCGACTAGCAGCGACGTGTGGTGACGCAATTCCAACGTAGACAAGGCGACGAGATCCTGGCGACACAGAACAGACATGGTGGTGAGAATCCTATGATGGCGACGATCAAGGAAGATTCTCCCATTCTCTTTTTTTTTTGCATTTTCTTGCTTTAGATCCTTATGCTAAATGCTCTCCACACATAAATTATACCTCTATGATCACATGTTTATCTCAATAAACCCACTTCAGCTTTCACCTCCCTAGAACCCCAATCATTACCCCCATTATAAACACAAGATTCGCATAACAAGTAACAATTGAATCCAAAATTGCCGAAACGGGCTTATCGCTTTCAATCATTCACTCAATAACTTAATTTGTATGCGTAAATAAATACAAATTGTAGAGTAAAATCGCAAGAATTAAGGGATACCCATTTAGAGATGAGACCAATCGAAGAAACCCACGAGGCATTTGGGGTCACACACCTGGTTTTGGTGAAGAACGTATCAAACCAAACTTGGGTTTAACTTGCTAGGCAGGTTTGTTGATTCTACGAGGAATTCCTAATTGTCGTACTTGAGAATTCCCCTACTGCGACTTCCTTCTCATTGGAGTTCTCTGAGCTAGTTGTGGAATGATTTCGCAAAAACATGCCTTGATCTTGAGAAAATGCATCCAACGAGATGACAGGAGAGGTTCATCGAGAGCTCGAGAAGACCACCTATGCGGGCAATCGGGATGATCGTTTTCATCAGATCAACGACCATGATCTCTTCAACACCAAAGCCATGATCACCTTGGCCAAGACGTTAAGATCATCGCTGCCAATTTGATCGTCGACGATGGTCGGTGGTGCTGGTCGTCGTCGTCAGTCAGTCGGATTTCGAGAGGGTTTGTCATGATCTAAAGGTTAGGGTGTAAAGAGATTCTGTCGGTTGAAAATAAGGCTAGGGTTACATAAGAGATGTGAGATCTGCAAAAATAAAGAGAGTGGTGATAAAGGAGTTGAAAGGTTAGAGAGAGAAACGATAGAGAGAGTTGTGGTGGTTGGGTTTTCTAAGATAGGCATTTTAGTCATTTTACGATTCTAATATTTTCTCATCACATATTAATTAAATATTGAAGGGCAATGTAGACATTTCGTTGCCAAAATTTGATATAAAACTAACAGGGGGTGTCATTGTTCAAAAAATACTTTGTTATATATGGTTGTAATTAAGACAAACTTCAGAGGGTGTCATTGTAATTAATCCTAAATAAAATAACTATTAAGAGAACAGCCAATAAACACAATACCTATTGTGAGGTGAGAGGCAAGGGACTAATCTCTTCTTTAACAACAATCATATTATTATATTTTTTTGTCATCATTATTGACCTAGTATTACTTTCTAAAATCTTAAAAAGCCATACGTAAAGTGGAGGAAAAAAAAAAAACACACTTTTTGCATTCTTGATAGAGAAACTTCTTTCGGGGTTCCTCATAATTTTTTCAAAAATCAATTAATTATTTTTTTATATCTTTTGTCAAATAATTATTATTCTTGGTATAGAAATAATTTGACCAATTGGTAATAAAAAATAAATAAATAATCAATGATAATTCTAATCTAATTCAAAGATACTTTTTGCAGCTAGACATCAAAAATATTTACAAAACCTTTGCCAAACAAAAAAAAAAAAAAAATAAAAAATAAAAAATGTGTTACATAAAAAAATGTGCTAAAACAACCATAGCTATGCAATATTAATAGTTATGTGATTTCATGATCTATTGAGAATATCATAGCCAACAATACATCTATATATACTAATGTGAAGGCATCACCTCTCACCGGAGTAGTTATCGTAATCAACCAACCATCACTTCTTCCTCGCTTGCTTCACCCTCTCCTCTACTCCTAGCATCAGATTCTATCTCCTCTATTTCTCTCTCTAGAATTCCTCTCATCTTCAACCTCCTCATACCCTCCTCCGATCCTTCCCTTCTCATAAAGATTGTCACTTCCACATTCGATTTCATATTCGCCCTCAGAAACCCTAACCTTCACATTCTTCTCTCACCATCTCAATTCATCGACAATAATTATTATTTTTTGGTTACAAACTTGAATTCTATCACTTTTTGAAAGCTGCAAAGTCGATACTTTGTTTACAGTAATTTCTTGTCCTTGAAAGGATTGAAATCTTTTGTTCTCTTTTTCCGCTGCGGATTTTGTATATGAAGTCTGTTGCCGAAGGATTGTGACTACAAATTAGGGTTTCTTTGAGTCGTTTAAAATGGTTCCTTGGGGCGGAATCAGCTGTTGTTTCAGTGCAGCGGCTCTCTATATTCTTGGCAGAAGTAGCGGGAGGTTAGTCTCATCTTCGTTTTTAATTTTTATTCTCTCATTTTTTCCCGACATATCATTTTCGTTGTTCTGAATATGATTTAATTATTTAGGGATGCAGAGGCTCTCAAATCTGTCACTCGAGTCAATCAATTGAAAGATTTAGGTAAGCTTATCGAAACTTTTATTTCTCTCAACGTTCTCTAGAGAGGGATTATCACATTGTTGTTCATACGTTTAGTTTGATTTTGTTGAGTGGATAAAAATTTTGTAGCAATAAACTAAACGTAAAATTTAATCAACAAATAGTAAAAAGGGGAAAAAATGGTAGGAGTTAACTAATTGAAAATAATTATGAATAAAACAGCTCCATTAGAATGGTTAGACAGTTTCTTGTAATCTCTAGTCTATCCCTATACTCATTCTGCTGATTAAAAACCTAAAGTTTGGAATTTCACCAACTTTGTAATTCTATTTTTCATCTGTAGCGATTATTATATGAGTTTCAGTAATCCTGATGACCATCTTTGATTTTGTTCCTGGACTTGGTCATTAGTGATCTACCACGGCTATTTAATACTCATTATAGTAGAATCGGTTAACGGCATATGTAAGACAACTAAAATGCTTTAGTTTTTCTTTCCCTTCAGTTAAAAACTGATACAAGCTCATATGTGTTACTCAAATGCTGATTTTTGTATTATGGTACCTTTCAGCTCAATTACTAGATAAGGCATGCAAAGTTTTACCTTTGGTTGTTACAATTTCTGGAAGAGTTGGTTCAGAGACTCCAATCAATTGCTATTATAGTGGTTTACGAGGTGTAATAGTGGAAGAAACGGTACATGGACTCCTTGTTATTTTTTTTTTTCTTTGCAAATATTATTAATTATTCAACTGTTTGTGTTTCAATTGGCTATTGGTTGTTTTGAACGTTCTTCTTTGTCTCTATTTTAGGCAGAGCAACACTTTCTGAAGCACAATGATGCTGGTTCGTGGATACAGGATTCTGCTTTAATGCTATCCATGTGTAAAGAGGTTCCTTGGTACCTGGTGAGAAATGATTACTCTGCCTCCTCCTCTCTTTCCCTCGGATTCGATCTGCAAAAATATTACTTCTGGCTTGTTTGTTCTCTCAAGTGAATATATTGCAGTAAAAAAAGATGTCTTAAACTCTAAAACTAAGTTTGCATTAGAGTTTAAGCTAGTATTTAAGGCCATTTCTTGTTACCTTTGGTTCTTATGCATCAGGATGATGATACTGGCCGTGTATTTGTAGTGGGAGCCCGAGGCGCCACAGGTTTGGTATTAACAGTTGGAAGTGAAGTGTTTGAAGAGTCAGGACGATCTCTTGTACGTGGAACATTAGACTATCTTCAAGGCCTGAAGGTCATTTTTCTTTTATAAATGTAAACTATCTCACACCTACACTATCTCACACACACTTATGCTTGGACCTTGGGTCAAATTTGCTTAATGGTGATTTTGTTTTGAAGATGCTTGGAGTCAAGAGAATTGAACGGGTGCTTCCAACTGGTACGCCTTTGACTGTTGTTGGCGAGGTATGCTATAAATAAACGCGTTTTACATTTACGTATACATTTTAAACATGATACTAACGACTCACTTATGTTTTATGATAGCAAAAAGGACCAACAATATCCACATATATATATATATATATATATTTTTTTTTTTGATAAGTAACAATATCTATAATTTGGATGGAATGTAAATGTATAATTAAATTAATTAGTATACATGTTGTTTCCTATTTTTTTTATAAAGGCAAAAATATGGTGTATGTCAATGAGCATTCTGATTGAAGTGCAGTTGAGAACTTGAGACTTGTATATCAGTACACGGAGGTGAATATCTTTCAGCGTTACCAGATATATCGTTATTGCGCTGGAATGAGCAGGCACTTGCAAACTTCTCAAAATTTCGTAGATCATATTATTCATGGTTTTATCGCGGTATTAAATTAATGAGTCACACTATGAAACTTTGGGAGAGAGTGATTGAACAACGCATAATACGAGAGAGACTGAAGTGTTGTAAAATTAATTTGGATTCATGCGGGGAAGGTCAAAGATGGAGGCTATTTATATATTAAGGAGACTAATGGAAAAATATAGAGAGAAGAAGAGAAATCTCCAATATTTTTATGGAGAAAGCCTATGATAGGATGCCTAGTGATCTAATATGGAAGGTTTTAAAAAAGAATGGGGTCCCAAAGGGATGCATAGACACAATGAAGGGCACAATAAAGCATTCTGATTGAGAATTCACTTGTTTTAGGGGAAACAAGTGAATACCCAGTCATTGTAGGCTTTCATCATGGTCAACATTATGTCCATACCTTTTTGCCTTGGTTATGGATGAGTTGACAAGACACATCCGAGATGAGATTCCATGGTGTATGTTATTAGGCGATGATATTGTTTTAGTCGACGAGACTAGAGGAGTTAGTGCCAAATTGGAGGTTTGGAGAGAAGCTGGAGAATATCAAGGGTTTAAGATAAGTAGAAATAAAACTGAATACATGGAGTGTAACTTTAGTAGATCTAGAAATACACAGGAGGATGTAGTGGGGATAATGAAGAATAAATTGGAGATGATGTTAACTATAGAATCAAGGCAGGATGGGTTAGATGGAGGATTGCATCTAGTATATATAGTGTGATAGGTGTATCCCTTTAAGATTGAAAGGGAAGTTTTATCGAACCGTTATTAGACCGCCCATACTTTATGGCACAGAATGTTGGGCAACTAGGAACAATTATATGCATAAAGTGAGTGTGGTGGAAATTTGACTGTTGAGATGAATTTGCAGTAAGACTAGAAAGGATGGAATTAGAAAGGACCACATTTGTTTTGTGGTTGAAGTAGCACAAATTGGAGATAAAATGAGAGAAAACTGGTTAAGATGGTTTGGACATGAGCAAAGAAGACCTTTAAATGCACCAATTAGAAAGAGTACATAGTCCACATCAATGGTACTACTAGGGGAAGAGGGAGGCCAAAGTTAATGCGGTTAGAGTTAGTAAAGAAGGATATGATAGCATGTGATTTGAAAGAGGTTGTGACGTTGGATAAAGTGGAATGGAAACATAGGATTCCTGTAGATGACCCTGTGTTACCTGGACTCGCCAGAACTGGCGAGGGTGTCCATGTCGACATGACACGGACACGGGATATGTGTCGGACCTTCAACTTTCCTGCCAGACACGGCTAACAACAGAAACATTCACATCTGGTTCAAAAATGGTGATTCACTGGTTTGTCTAAAAGGGTTTTGAAGGTAGGCGATGACTCATAACACGCGCTGTATGCCTCCATATTTGTGTGCTGATGGAGTGTGTATTTTACGCCAAAGTTTTTATAATTTTTAATTCTTTTGACCTGACACCTAACAAACGTTACCATTTAAACCGTCTATGTGGGTTACAGCCTAAACACAGCCGTCACTCACTAGCTCTTTAAAACTTCTTTTAAACTTTACTCTTACCATGTCGGTTACTATAGCACGTGTTCAGCAGTGAGCTTTTTTATTTGTTTATTATTATTTTTAATTAAAAGTGAAACATGTGGGTTACAGCTGTATATAAATTTAAATATTCCGTGGTATATATATATATATATATATATATATCGTACCATTACTATATATATATTTAGTATTTACTATTTATTTACAAAAGTTACCACTTAACACTTGGCAGTTGTACCATTGTAACATTTTTCTCTTTACCACTCACCACTTACCAGCTGTACTAAAACAAGACGTTATCTCTTGTATGCCTGTATGTGTGCTATGCCCTATATTTGTGAGTGATAATTATTTTTATTTTTGTGGTGTCCAAGCACCCGTGTCCAACTTTTGGACACTTATTATTCGTGTCCCCGTGTCCCTCAATTTGATAGATAGGGGGATCCGACTCCTAGACACGCACCCGTGTCCAGGCAACATAGAGCCGACCCCAAGTAGTTGGAAAAAAGGCTTCTTCTTGTTGTATATTATTTCTGATTTTAAGTTCAACATACCTAATTAACAGGACAAACATGTAGTTACTATTGAATATATATATATATATGCGCTAGTGCATACATGCAGCAGTTTTAGCATTTTTACAAAGTTTAATTAATTGCTATTTCATTTTTCTTCTCCAAATACTAAGGTTGAAACAATAAAAAATATTACAAATTTATCAATGTGCTGTATTTTGATTGGTTTGACAAATCTGACACATTAGAGCACAAGTCAAAGTAAAGGAGTGGATTTGGCCAAAAAAAATTAAATAAATAAATAACTTGCACCAATTCTTTTTTTCAAAATCTTAAAATTACTTCAATATGTAAACTTTTATGGGGCTTTAAATAAATTTGAATTTTATTATTATTATTATTGCCTCTCTTACCATTCTTTCAGAAACATATCATTTCTTGCTTGGAAAGGACAAAGGATGAGGGTGTTGGCAGAGTTTGAGGTGTTATTTTTTTAGAAAACACTGAAAAAGCGAGGCTTCTTAGTACATGAGTACCTACCAAGCCTATGACCTATGACCTTGAGGATGATATATACTATCTTAAATAGGTGATATAATCGATATTTTGGGACTTTAGCAATAACAGTGGGTTTACTTGGTTTTTCTTTTGCTCTTAGTTTTTGATTGGAGGTTGACAAAGTTAATAGACAAACTTGGCAGCAAGTCTTGGTTTCTCCAAAGAGTTGAACAGTGTTATTTGTATGGCCAGATGATATCAAGTTATGGTACGGTGTTACCAAATTAAGATACTAACATCAATACAGATCTTGTATTATTTTTTTGTGTATATACCGGTGATGCATGTTCAGACAGTTAGAAGATGTTTCTGTGTACGAGCTTTGCAATCATTTATCTTAACCATTAGTGATTGTTCCATCTAAGCACTAGTAGTGGTTATGATGAGCAGTCTAGAGCTGTAAATTTGTAATCCGTTGGGGTATCTTATTACCTAATTCATAATCTTGTAAGCCAATAGCTTATATTACATCTTCATCATTGTCATTTTCGTTCCTCATCTGTCCTAGATAATAGTACAATGCTGATGTACTGCCGCTCATGGACAAATTGAAAGAACTTTGCTTTTTGAATGGTCGAGGCACCCTTTAGATACAAATGTTCAAGCAGGCACTTCTAAACATTTGACACTTTTTGTTCTTTACCTTGTCATTCTGCGTATATCAAGTTTATTACATCACAATCATATATGTGGATATTACCATTTTTTAAGGTGAAAAAAGGGTGTAAAACTGTTCTTGGATATCAATTTGGTGTTACTCAAGTCATGCCTTGTATGCCTCAATTGCATAATGATTGCATTGGTGCCTCAACTATACAACTTGATTGTACCATATTAAGCTGAATCCGAATTAGTGAAGCCTTTTTAACTACTTGTGTCAGAGACCTTTAATCGTTAAGAACATTAATACCAAACAGTTACCGGCTCAAATTACCATGAATGCATTTTTATTTTTTTGTATTTATTTTCTCATGAAGTTATTATTATCGTAATTTTTCATTGCCTCAACTAAGAAAGATAAAGAAAAAAGTGCAGAGCAATCTGGAATGAGTATCTTGTCAAAGGCTGGGAATACACTTACTTGAACTGGAATTAAGAGCGTCTCTTTATACTGGCAGGATAAGTTTCCCAGACTCAGTCTAGTACCATGCCGAGTGTCAAGAGCCTTTCGAATGCTTAATATGTTGAAAAGTACATCATCTTTAATGTTCCCAAGTCTTTTGGTTATGCAAGAAGTTTGAATGTGAGAATGTGCGTTCAAGTATTAAAGTCTGCCACTTTGTGATGGACGGTTAACCTATCAGATATGCTCATCTGTTTTTGTATCTATTGTTATTACTGTCTCCTATATTTTTCTCTTCAATTTGTTTCAGGCTGTTAAAGATGACTTAGGAACAATTCGAATTCAACGACCTCACAAAGGGCCATTTTATGTATCTCACAGAAGTATTGACCAGCTCATTGCAAATCTTGGGAAATGGGCAAGGTTGTTTTACGAGTACAAAAACACTACGTATATACATGTACGGCTTGATGCTTTCTTCTTCTTTTTCATGTATTAATGAAGGTGTCTTGCAGGTGGTACAAGTATGCTTCAGCGGGGTTTACTGTATTTGGTGTTTATCTGATTGCTAAGCATGCATTCCAATATATCATGGAAAGAAGGCGTCACTGGGAACTGAGAAAGAGGTATGTTTAACTTGCTTTTATTATTGTTGTTTTGCCTATTGCAAGTGCAAATGGGAGAATCATTGTCTATTCACTAGAGAAAAATATGCTGTACTGATGTTGTCACTTCAAACAAGATAGTTCTTGGATTATGCCATAACCCTAGGCATAGAGATATCTTGTTTTAACTAGAGCTGATAAATCTTGTTCTACAATACTTCTTTCTGGCAATTCTATCGGAATCTTTACGACCATATGATGGCTATAATGATATATTACTTGTGCCTGGCATACTCCATCACCATGTTGACTGTTTTGGATCTGGTGGTTCAATCCACTGATTGATAATGGTGATGTTTGTTATTAAATTTTGTTTATTTTTATTTTTTTCTTTTTTCGCAGCCCCTGGTTGGGTACTACATATCTATTTTTCTCTATATATATTCCGTTGTATTAACTTGATGAGCTCTGGTCAAGTGCTCATCCAGCCCCTGCTGTGGCGTGGATTTCAGCCCCGGAATCAGCCCCCTCTAGAAATAGGGGAAAAGCTGCCCAAACCCTGTTGAATACGGGAGCCTTGTGCACTGGGTACAACCTTTTTGTTAACTTGATGAGAACTCGTGTTGTAGATTTCCTGAATTTGGACAAATAAAAAGTTAGATTTGTAGAACCTAATTACAGTGATCTGTCCAGACCCGAAACTGGTAGTTGTTTTTATGCAGTGAACCTGAGTTCTCTCCAAAACTAATTACCCCCTAGTGGCTTCATAAAAGAATGCAGCAGAGATTTTTGCAAAGTTTAGAATCTACAGTTGTTACTTGATGCTGAGAAATTATTGAAGTTACTTTACTAGAGAAGGAAGTGTTGCCCAAGTGCAATGGTAAAAGTTTGGACTGCAAGCTTGAGGGGGTGTGCATTTGCATACAGTCGCAGACCCTTTATGTAAAATAACACCAAATTGTGTTATGTCTCCAGTTCTCTCCTCCAACCATTTTGTGTAGGCGAGACCAGCATTTACCAATGACCTTACTCAGTTAGTATAGAATTGCTGAACTGACATGTGAGGAACCTTGTTGTCCTAATAGATTTTAGAACTATAATCCATCACATGTATCAATGTTGTTATCACGTAGGTTTTGCTTTGTTTTGAGCCTTGCTGGAGATCCAGATGCCAGACAGTCATGATGGATAATTGTGCCAAATTTATGGGTATTGAAGACATATTACCTTCATGTTTCCTTTTGTAATTTATCAAAAAAAAAATGTTTCCTTTTGTAGACGGAACTGCTTAGTTTGACTATATTATATCAACATCAAGTTTACGTGTGAAATTTTGAATTTTGAGAATTAATCTTATATCGGTGTTTTGACAATGATGCACAAAAACAAGAAAAAAACATATAAAAGGAAAGGGTCATATGAAGGCTGAATTCTGATATAATGAGTAGTTGCAACATTAATGGATCGGATAGGTTATCAAATTTCCAGAACTTATATAAAGTGACTGGTTGATGTTACCAATATGGCTGCAAATGAACCGAGCCGAGCCGAGCCGAGCTTTAGCTTGCTCGGGCTGGGTTCGCATAGGCAAGAGTTGTGTTCGGGCTCGGCTCAAGCTTGGGTGAGCTTGACCTAGCCGGGCTCGTCTCGTCAATTTTTTCATGAGCTCGGGCTCGGCTTAGCTCAGGCTCGTGTCTATATATATAAAGAATCAGAACAAAAATGGGTTCCAAGCTCGGTGTGTGTATACATATATATGTACATATATCAAATGAATCAACTAAAGACACGAAACAATGGCCACCAATCTCCTTCAAATTGAATTCTGCATTCACCAATCAGTCATCAATCTTCTCTAATTTCATCATCTACTCTGCAAGCTTGAAATCCATCACACTTTGATTCATCAAGTTATAAAGGTAGAGAGAGAAACACACAGAGAAAAAGAGATAAAGAGAGAAAAATTTGTGGAATTGAAGGACGGTGAAGTAGGACGCCGTTGTATAGATCTCGTGGTTGCAGAAGAATTTGTTGCGTCTGTGTTTTAGGTTTTCTATCTTATCCTTTAATATATACAGTACAATATTCAATGGTTGAGATGAAACTATATTTTGGGCCAGTGGATTACTTATTAAATGGATTTTAATATTTTGGGCGGATTACTTATTAAATGAATTTTATTTGTTGGATGGGTTTCTAAAATACTTATTGGGCCAATAAAAATATAGGGTAAAATCCAAAATACCCCCTTGAACTATTGGGGAATCAGCAACTAACCCCCTGAACTACTAAAATTGTAACTAACCCCTTGAACTATGCATATTTGTTGCAGATAGCCCCATCCGTCATTGTTCCGGTCGGATCTGTCACCATTCTGGTGGTCGTATCTTACCGTTAAAGTGATCATATGATAGTCTCGTGACATACACTATAATTTTAATGACCATAATACCCTCGTGGGTATGAAAAGACACTAATGCGCCTTATTGTAACTATTAAACCCAAAATCTTTTTAAATACGCCAAACACAACCTTGTATGTCTGTGTGTATATAGATATATATATATATAAATTACTGTTATCTTCTATTCAACCCTCTAGTCTCCAAGAGGCACCGACAAGTTCTTCATGACGGTGTGCTCGCTTTTGCAGCTCTCGCACAACTAAGCACGAACCAATCAATCATCTTCCCTAGCGTAGATCCTCTTCCCCAGCGAACAACGGTTGTTATCATATCTTCTTCGGCTTCTCGCCTTCTCCATCATCGACGTCATGGTTTGAATCCTCTTCCGAGCAAATGACGGCTGATCGCATCTTCTTCACCCTCTCCATCGCTGCCGATCTCTCCTTCATGGTGGTACGTAGAGGCTCCACCTTCTAGATTTTGAATTTTGCCGATGTGGTGGTGATCGGAAGCAAGCGCCAGAGTGGTTGTTCAATATCCTCGATGAGTGAAATTCTGCTAGCCTTGCTTTGAGAAACTGTTCTGCAATTCCCCATTGGTTTCTGAAATCACAGCTTTTGAAAAAAAAAAAAAAAAATCCAGTAAATTCCTTTCTTTAAAAAAACAGGATAAAATTTACCCTTATTTCAACATCACACATCTCTGTTTTTCCCCAATTTTTTGTTTATAAATGAAAGATATCTGAACTAGACTGATAATCCAAATGCTAATCTAGCCAAAATTATGGAATTTTCATTTCATTTACTGCTATTCCAAGAACCCATGGGACACCTACCATGGTCTTGGTCTTACACACACACACACACACACACACACACACACATACATATATATGTACAAAATACAAAGGAAAAGAAAAGGGAAAATGGGAACCATATACATATCTTGGATTATATAAAAATTGGAAATTTTCAGGCAGAAGAGAAGCCATTAATGGCTGCATGACCAAATTGACTTTTAGGTTCCAAAACCCACTTGACCAGCACCTTGTTGTCATCTCCAATTTCTTCTTGATCCCAGATGAGCCATTAATCCTACGAGCCAACAAACCAATCTCTTCCCCTCCACCACCATTTTTTCTTGAATTCTTGACCTTCTCTTGTACTCCTCTGCAACTAACATAGCATACCTCTCACTTTCTCTCTCTAAAACTGCTACTGGAATATTATTATTGTTGTTGTTGTTGTTGTTGTTGAAGATAAAGTTAGCTTTGTTGTCGCATTTTGATTGGGTTATGAAATTACCAAATGCCACATCGTCAAGTTAAGGATATAACTCTCAAAACTATGTAGTATTAAAAAAGGGTAATTTTGTCTTTTAACATTTCTGACCCAGTCATCTGCTGAAATGCAAGAAATCAATAGTTTAGGGGGTTTATTGTAACAAATATATAGTTTAGGGGGGTTTCTTGTCGTTCAAGGGGGTTTGTTGCAATATGCCAATAGTTCAGGGGGTTTATTGCACCCTAAAATATATAAATAAAATTGGTCTACTTGTATATATAAGTTAGGCTTCTAAATACTATACTTTTAATATAATATAATATATATATATATATATATACTCCTATTATTTTAATGAGTCTGTTCACGAGCCAACTTATCAAAAAAAAAAAAAAAAAAACGAGCTCACGAGCCGAGCTTAACATTGCTCAAGCTTGGCTCATTTACTAAACGAGCTTTAAAAATGATCTCGAGCTTGGCTCGTTTACTAAACGAATGAGCTCGAGCCGAGCTTTTAACGAGCTGAGCCCGAGCCATTCACGAACAACTCAGTTCATTTGCAGCTCTAGTTACTAACAATACCAGTAAATGGAACCTCTATCTATTCATGGAGGCAACTTGGCCAGAGAGGTAATTGGGTGATCTTTGGTTGAGTTCTCTTCTCCATAGATCTTGGGGCAACATCTGAATGGGTCGAATGACAGTTAATGATGATGAAGTATCCTACTAGTAAAAGATCGGTTATATTATGTAATTCATAGTATCTATTGGCGTAACAAGATTTACTCCTCATCATTGTACTATAACAAATGATATTGGTCTTACACCCATGGTTTTGGTCTTTCAAGATGGGTTTGACTTGCTGTTTTTGTTAGGGTGGTGGTCGCTGATTGCGCTATACATAAATCATAATGCATATTTTTATGAAGAGAAATACCTTTTAGGAAGTTTCTTGGGTTTTCTTATTGAAATACAACCTTGATACCGGATAATTCGTGAATAAGTCCAACTGATTCTTTTTCACTTTGTGCTTGTGGTGAACCATTGGTACTCTTTACTGCTTTAGTGGGTTCTCAGTTGAGTTGTGCTCTAGTGAGCTGCATACAATTGCATTGTATTAATGTTTTTATCTAAGCGTACACTATTGAAATACTGGAATGAACTTCATTCTGGAGTTATTTTGGTTTCGTTTGGTTTTAAGGACAAGTCGACCAAGTTCTTGGTTGTGCCAATGTGATTTTCTCCCACCAAATAATGAAATCTTTTATCCGAAAAATTACTTCATTTAATAGGTTTTCATTACAAGTTAATAATTCTAACTCTTCTAATTTAAGCACCTACTCACATAATGGATTCTGCTTTTTAGAAAAGTTGGCTGTCATCCACTTGATATTAATACAATCCTGCTGCATTTCATATGCTCTATTTCCTCCTCGTTTTCTGTGGGAGCAAACAGAGCCCTAATGTATGCTTGTCCATGCAGAGTTCTTGCAGCTGCATCTAAAAGAGCTGGGCAGGATAGTGAAGGTGACTTGCTCTGTTGTCTACCTTTAACTGTGTTTTTTTTTTCTTTTTTTCTTTTTTTCTTTTTTATCCTTTGCTTAAAAACAAAACTGTAGCAGTGAAAAGTTGTATTATATTTATTTATTTTTGATGTTTCTCTTTTTTCCAGGTTCAATTGGTAACGATGAAAATGGATCAGATGGTACTAAAAAAGACCGACTAATGCCAGATTTATGTGTGATATGCCTAGAGCAGGAGTACAATTCTGTTTTTGTCCCGTAAGCACTCCAAATATTTCTCTTGTTTTCTATGATCTTCTCTGCATGATACATTTTGTTTCTTGTACTGATCCCAATCACATAGACCCTACCGGAGTCCTTTTGTTTGCTAGGCCTATTTTTTGCTTGTCCCTCTTTCAAGGAGGGACATCGCTACTGCTGAATGGTACTGTTGTATGTGCATAAATTAACATATTATTTTTAGTATGAAATGTTTGGGTATCTTGCAGTTCAAAAATAAGATGATGAGATTATAGGGTAAAATACCTTTGTAGAAGAATTTATGTTTTGATATAGAGCTCTTTCACTTGTTCAGGATTTTAACTGAATCATTGGCTAACTGGCTATGATTTTCAGGTGTGGTCACATGTGCTGTTGTACAACATGCTCCGTGCAATTAACGAACTGTCCACTTTGTCGGCGAAGGATTGAGCAGGTGGTGAAGACTTTCCGGCATTGAAGCTGTCCTTTCAGATTTCATAGCCACTATATTAAGTGGGCTGGTGCATGTGGTTGGAATCCTTGCGTTTTCAAGTGCAAGAATCTGAAGGCCTGAATTCCTCTTCATTATGGTAATGGAACTTTGTTATGCGGTGTAAACTTCTTTCTATGCTATGTTCTACATCCATTGCCTCGCGAATTTAAAATTTCTTCTTTGACAATCTATCCCTATGTTGGGTAGAGTAATCTCCAAAGAGACTGCACTTTCCCTAGAAAACTGTTAGTTGTTACTAGGAGTTGAAGGGGATTAGTTTATTCATTAGCCTTTTCGAACTTTTCCTCTAGAATTTGTAAATGATTCCCAGCTTGACATATTTGTAAATTGAAGCAGTTTATAGCAATACTGGCACTTTGTTTCCTTTCTCTCTCAGTGGGTCGTACCTAGCTTGTTGAATTTATAGATTAATGTTTCTTTGGTACTATATGATAGTGTTACCTGTGTCGTAGTATGTAGCTGGTGTACTAAGATACAGGATTCATGAAAAACTCGAGTTTCCGTGGCCATTATTACAACATATCCATTGATTTGATTGATGGACCATGAAGAGATGATCAATTTTAAGATATAGTGGATCAAGTAACTTGTTCCTTGGAAGCATGATGTGAGCTCCAAAGCATTTTATATTAGGAGGTCGAAGGTTTGGAGCGATTCATCTGATGCATTTTGGAAATGCCAACCATGTGAGTTCAGTATGTGTTTTTCCAAGGTGATCATTTTAGGAGATATTAAATTTCAGTTATTTGTTGTTTATTGCTTTTATCATTTGATCTTAGGAGTTTCATACATCTTCGGAGTGTGTAGAAAAATGCCAACTCTATGAGCTTGTCCGTGTGCCCTCCAGGCGCATGCTCTCGTGTGTGGCTGTTAAACTAATGAAGAATTTCTTGGGGAACCAGAATACACCTTGTTAGGCAAATGAGAATGCTGGGGTGGGGGGTGATTTTGTAACGGCATTTGTTTAATACTTAAGTCTAATCTTTTACATCGTCTTTTCAATCTTCTTATTTGGAGGTACAATTTTGTTCAATTTTCATTGTTAAGAAAATATATTGTACTTGTATAACCAAACTCTGAAACTGCCAATACTGCTTCAAGTCCTCCACTGCCAACCCTTGATTATCTGAAGCCAATATTTCCCAAACTAGTCGAGTGTCAATAACCCAGTTCAGAATGAAGTTTCTAGGGTTGTGTGCAGTGCGAGGCCGGTTAGCTCAGCCGGAGGTGGTGGTAGAAAGAGTTTCTTGAAATTCGATAGCTTCAAATATAGTTTTCAATTATACCATTGCAGAGATTAAGACCAGAACCTATTAGATGGCAATAGGTAAGTCACACACACACAAATCCAATATTGTCCATTTGGAAGGAGGATATACCATTTGAACTAAGCTCTCAGTGGTAGATTCAGGTCTACGTGTATTTAAGTACACACTCACAGGACCTTCAAGAATTTATACCCGGATTTGATGAATAATGGTTCTTTTGTTTACGGAGTGAATCATATTCATAATTGTATGCGTGTTGTGATGGTTTACCATATATTCTTTTTTTTTTTTTTTTAGTATGGTTTACCATATATTCTTATAAATTGTCACGAAGTTTATGCGAAATAAATAGGTTCTTTTAATGGTCGTGTATAACATCATTAGCTCATTTTCTTCTTCTTTATTTGTTCATGGTATGATTGGATTTCTAGGGGGCATTGTTTGCTACAGTGGACGGTCGAGGTGGTACCATCATGTTTAGGACCATCCAGTGGGTGAGGAGGGTTCGGCTCCCCACTTCGGATGGTCACTTTTGGCTACTCTATTATTATTGTTGTTGACAAAGTATAGAAGAAATAAATCTACTTTTGAAATGCTATAACAAGTTGGGGTTGGAATCAATTATATTTATGAATCATCATTCCCTGCAATAGGAGGGTTAGATTTTCTCTGTTTGTTGCTTCATTGACGTAAAAAGGTATTGGCATAAAGAGATATTGATTAGAATATTCTGTGGACGCAAAACATCTCTTTTTTCTCCTTACACACTTGGAAGCTGGACCAACTGCATCATTTTTATTTTTTCCCGGAACAATTATTGGGAAAATTTCCTAGGGGTGGGGCCTAAGAGGAGTATTTGAATTCCCGACTTGGAGGGTGTGAAGTGAGAGTCTTTGCTATTCTTTTAAATTTAAAAAGATTGCATAATGTTGAATTACTATTTTATTTATATAAATTAAATTGTGGAGAATATGGATTTGTATAATATCAATCAATTACATAAGCAAAATAAAATAAAGTTGTTAATAATTTGAGTTGCAAAACTGTTCGCGCGTTTTTTTGGCTCACATGGCCAATGGAGTTTGTGGGCGTGTCAGAATATGTAAATACTATATAAAAAAAAAAAAAAAAAATTGATTCGAACACCAAACTATTTCTTTTTGGTAGCTGACTTTAAGCGATTGTGCAAGAGAGAGAATAGGAAGAACTCTCGGCTAGATTCTTTTCCTCCTTGGATGTAAGGACTTTTTTATATAGTGTTTAAAAGAAAAAAAAAAATGCAATATAAAGTAAAGAAATTTTAAATGAAGTGACTGAATTGAAATGAACTTTAAAGGAGGTGGTTGAATTGAAATTGCATGAAAAGTAAAGAGTGCAATGGGCAAGCCAAATGAGTGCAATGGAATAGGCTGGCCGAATTTAGGTGACTAAAATCTGATCAAAGATCGTCATTGAATTCGAACTTAAATTCCTTGAAATTTGCCATTTTGACAAAGGATATGAAAATTGATAGTCTAGTCATTTGAAGAATGTCTAGTCATTTGAAGAATTTGTGATTAATGTTTTGTGGGTGGTACTGGAAAGAATTACAACTCTTCTATTTATAGAATTCTTTCCTCAACTAAATCGCCTTGCTAAAATATCTCTTTCTTGATTCTCTCCTTTTTAGTTATTTGATGTTGACTAGGTCTCTTTTTTAAAATGAACTTCTCATTTCCAGCTATAATATACGGATTCTTTTCCCTGGTCTTTTTTGTGAATTAGTCAAAACCTATATTTCTTATTTGTCTCAAACTTCTTCACAAACGTGGCAGTCTTAGGGCCCGTTTGGGAAGTGTTGTGTGGTGTAGTGCAATGCTCTAGCCTAGAACAAAACAAGTGTTTTGTGATATACTGTTCTAAAATGAGAACAAAATATGTTTGGGACGAAAATTTGGAGTGAGAATTTTGGAATATAATTTTTTTTTATTTTTTATGATTAAAATAAATTATTTATAGAGCTTGATTAGTTTGCAAAACAAAGATTACATAGCTTGATTAGTTAATTTAGAAAAAAAAATTAAAACAAAACCCATACACACAGGTTAGCAATTGCAGAAAGAGAGAAGGGGCAAGCTTGAGAGTTGAGAGAGCGGTTGAAGCTTGCGAACGGCGAATAGCTGAAGCTTGTAGATTTTGTAGTTTGCACTTGGAGAGAGAGAGAGACTAGGGCAATTTGGAGGCTGAAATGATTTGCCCTAAAAATGAATTTGCAGAGTTGAGAACGAGAATAGAGATGGAGGCGTTTGGGAGGCTGAAATGATTTGCCCTAAAAAAAGATCAATGATTTGGGAGCCTGTTTAGCTACAGTAAATATTGGGTTAGAACAACATAGAACACCAAAATCTTGTTCCAGCTTTTGGGCCAAATAGCGGATTTGTTTTGAAAGTGTTCTGGTACTGTTGAGAACAAAACAATGCAGGCCAAACATGTTGTGGACTCAAAATGGGCTACTGTAGCGGGCCTAGAACACTTCAGAGCAAACACCAAACAGGCCTTACTCTTCAAATTTTATCGACAGTGCATGTAATCATTATATTGCTCTATGTGTTTCCTTTAATGACATGTAATAAAACCCCACATTATCAACGCTCGCTTCTCTTTTATTGGTCTACCTCATAGCTACCAAATTTTGGTGCCAACAAAAACACTAACGTCAATGACCTTTTAAGAAAGGTATCCTTTGAGGGTGCTCTAGGGTCTCTGTTGGTATGAGCAAATTGCCTCTTTCAGCCGTTGAAACTCGTTAAAATGACTCTGAATTCATTTAAAAATGGTGGCGCCTGACTAATGACCAAAATTTTGACAAGACACAGTTGGTATGGGAGGCTGAGGCATGCTAATAGAAAAGCTACACTATGGTGGCTGATGCTTATACATACATATATACATACATATATATATACATATATATATATATATATATAATTTTCTAGTCAATTTTATTAAGTATATACATAGAAATTGCATTGTTTTGACTTTTTATTTTTTTTAATGTAGTGGAAGTCAATGCCTTTTTATTACCATTGATCATGAATCACGCTGCCTTGTGAGAAGCTGTTTTCAAGTGACACTTTATGGGTTATAAGTCAACTTAAAAGTGACCCTCAATTTTATTTATTTATTTTTTAAAATTAATTTTCCTTTCAAAAGTGGTGAGCCATATTGCATGCATTAATATGTTAATCTTGAGTCTGACGGATGAATGGGGTCGGCTATATAAATTAAGCCTTCTTTATCTATTTTTAGAGTAATTAAAATTTCTCTTCTTACTAGCGCATCTAACAAGTCTCAGATGTATATGCTCAAAACATCTAAGATACCATAGTGTGTGTGTTTGTATTTTATTTTTTTAAAGGTTGGTAGGATGTGGTTCAGATTGTTTGGGCATGTAGTGGACTCTATACTATTACTTTGTGGATGGGTACATTACAGGTTCAGATATAAAGTTCAGCTTCTCCTCCCCATGAATCCTTGTCCAGTATTGTTCAATAATTGATGGAGCTTCTGTTATTTCCAAAAAGCGCAACCCACTATATATATGCACACACACAAACAAACACACTCCCATATGACTTATGTACACTAGGAAAATATTTTTTTTTAAAATATTTATATAATAATTACATTTTGCTTTTGAAAACTTGTATTAGGAAAATACAAACTAGAATTGGTTTCCTTGAAAATCTCCAAGAGGCTGCTATCAGACACGTGAGAGTTGGATAACGATTGAAATGCCCCGCTCACTTGTTTCACACACTGATCCAAAAAGCTGTTCAAAAAGTTCAACTTATTCTAGGACAAAAAGCCCATGACTTGCTTCTAGATCCATACAACCTCTCTTTGATGTTGCTAGATAACTTGAATTCAAACATAAATTAATGATATAACTACCCACCCAAAAGCCCAAAAAGGGTCTACATCATCAATCACACACACACACACACACACACACACACACACATTATATGATATTAGAGAGAGAGTCCCATTCCAACTAAAACTCTTCTATATTCAAAGAAGTCACAAATTATATAGTTGAGTTGTACATTTCTGTATGT